ATCTTAACCCTTCATTTTGGTCGCCATTTACTCAAATATTAAAGAGGACGTTCAGTGCTCACCAGGCAAACTAGTACGCCGTACATCTTTACTTTTACCTGGTGAGCTGGTTTCCTCTTCTGACGCATTGCCCAACTCACCCGTCTGAAACGGCACATGTATGGAGTTCGTGAGATGCCGACAAGACGATCAACACGACGGCCCCTTCATAATCATCGAACATCACTCCAAATACTTTGTTTTAGAGAGAACCGGAAAGCATGATACACTCTCCACTGATCATCTGAAGCTCGGCTTATCGAAGCACCCATGACCACATTTAGCAATCCCCCCATCCCATCAGCACCAGTACCTAGTCGAGATACCCATATCACCAGCCGAACTCCTTCTGCTATTCGTTCCGGAAGACATGTCCGTTTCCTTTAACACTTAAGTGATTAAGAACCTTGAATCAAAAACATATTTGATTAACCATTTTTATTATTCAAACGTTCTCCCCTTTCACGGTCAAGTGGATGAGTATTGTAACGTTCTGTACCTTTCTTTTGCCTCCATCAAAACATTACATATTTTGTCAATTGCATCAAAGTTTTTGTTTGAATACGAGAAAACCACAAAAACGCGCACTTGTGCAATTGCACGCAATAAAAACCTGATCACGTCCTTTGACTCTCTTCTGATTTCGCTTGCGATTACAGCGGTCATTCGCGGGTTTCATGTACTAAGTCTGGTATCGAAATTTTCAGACTATCTTCACAAGACACCTGGATGACCATGATTGGATTATAGTTTATTCGCTGACTTGGACCAAAGACGAACCATTCTAAAGAGAACAACTCTTAATGAGTCTCTCCCATCGTGTGTTCAATCTAGCGTTATTATTTTTATTTCTTTACCACACACTTCTTGTAAAGTAGCTTGTTATGTAGCCAGGCCAGTACAATTCCAACTTATCTGCGCTTTGTCAGGGACTTATCAGATTGGGAGTGTAGTGGAACTGGTCAGTGAGTGTGCATGAAAATAACATCGCAACATCCTTTGCTTCGAAAGTCTCGGACTATCTCCAGGTATTCATCTTCATTGCAAAAAAATTACCAATCTTTCAAGCTTGCCTGCGAAAAATATACCTATCAATGTGCACTCTGGTCCATCAAAATGACAGGTTTGCTATGGTGTCGAGCGTGAAGCTGCACACTCCACCTAGCTACAATGTGGCCCCATGATTAGTTGTTATTTGGATACCAGTGCGTACACAAAGCCTGCCAGCATCCTGTGGTGATTCAATGCATGATATCTGAGGAGGGGGCAACTTATCTAACAACTGTAATAGAGTTTCTTTCACCAATGTACCGACCTGATTTTCCACACGGGACTCGACTGCGGTGTTTGTTAGTTCGTCCATTTTCAACTACTTCGATTCCTTGGAAAGTTTTACTTTCATCTCGTCCAATTTTTGTCGTTCGTATTTTTTGACTAATTGATATAGCATATATGGAAGCAGAGTCGGTGGTGTGTCCGTAGAGTCATTGGCGAATCAAGGTGTGCGTGCCGCAGTGCAATATTTTTGTAGTTCAGCAACCAGATGAAAAATACTTCACGGAGGTGGAAGCTTGCTGGAGTACTCCCTGACAGTAATAGAACACTGCATGAAATTCAGAATAGCCTGTGTTCATGGACACTGTCCCAAGTTGAAACCAATTTTATCGGAATATCACGAGAATGACTAAATACTGCTTCAAAATTTGGATAACCAAGGGAATGCGACACCTTAAATGTATTCGATTCCCATTACTTATTGGTCATAATCTCGATTACCTTAGCGATCTATAGATTTTCTCGTGCCAGTTTTGTGTGAAGGCAAGTTTTTGTACGTGCTTGCAATAGATTTGCACATGGCTAACCAGATCTTACATCTTCTGACAACGTTGAGGAGTTATGACCATCTACCACTGCACGTCGTTCAACAGGGCTTTCAGGTGCATGGATAACACAGTGGTCTCAGGTTTGTATGCAACTCCGAACTATTTTGTCGTCGATAACTTTGGCGACGTCGCACTACAAAATTCGGGTGTAAATGCGAGGCGTGCGTTCAAAAAATCACTTGCAGTGCAGTCTGTTTATAGCGCTGTTTTTATTCTATGGGCATTCTGTAGCCCGTGTGGCCTCTCTCACAAGGCACAAGATACTTAGAGCGTTTGATCGGATCAACACCGTTGAGTTGTTTAAACTCACTGTTTTTCGACCTTCCGAGTCTCATACTGTATATTTGAATCTGTCAGTGTGCTTATGGTCTTGCATGGTGAAAACTAGCAAGCATGATGCAGATTACAAATAAGGTGTCTTGATCAACGTTACATTGCTGGACTTTATCTTCACGGATAACCTTAACTGAAAGGTGGTCAATTACTTTTCAAGGACGGATGATACACTGGTAACTCTCATCGTCTTCTTCGTTGCGAGAAAAAAGAGGAGTAGATGATAACCGTAATTTCAGGATATTCTACAGCATTTAGGGAATGGAGCACTTTGACTCGTTGGTTAGTTGATCTCTTCAATCAGTGTCCGTTTCGACACGATGGTCGCAGCAGTTGAAAGAACGCCTGTTACTGGATAATCACTCTGACGTGCCCCAGTCGAAAGAGGCCCAACAGGACACCGGGATCACAGCGCCCATCCCAAACCGGTGGATGAGATGTCAAACATCCATCTAGGTTTTTCGAAGTTGGAACACGTGTAGCAAACAATAGTGGGATCAACGATTGAGCATATTCCGTACACAAGTGGCAAAATGCATTCATTTGACTTAACTGCATCCCAGTTGAATCTCTTGCACATAATATTTTTTAGTCGAGTGCTTCATGTCACCAGACTACACTTGGTACTTCGGATAGCTTGCCACCTGAACTCTGACGACGAATAATCATGATTTCAATGTCGTTATTGTCCTCTAGGTCCGGTCATTGAGGTCAAATCGGTGGTTTCCGTAACCCAACACAGCAGTCCCAAGGGGTAAAATCTGGTCCACTAGATGTAGAGGAAATGAGAGTCGCTGAATTGCCATCAATTTCACGACGTCAGCTAACTCTGGGGATCTTAGAAAGCCAAATCACAGGAACACGCGGTGATACAACTCAACCGGTGAGTGTGCAAGAATGATCCGTCTGACGACACAATCAGATCACCATCCAATTGTGTAGATCTAGCGGAAACCTTGTGGGGCGATATAGGCATCCATTAGTGCTATAAAAAACTACCGATTTTGGAAAGTAATCCAGGTGATATACTTCAGGGAGGAGAGGAATTAGCGTCCGAAGTCTTGGTTGGTCTTTGATCAAAAGCGAGTTCAGCAAGGAGACATTATCATCTTTCATAACTGATAGCCAGTTGGACTATCTGAAAGATGGTTCCCCGTCTGTTGGTCGGCTCGCCAAGAGCCCGACTTCACAGCTCCGGCACATGATTTTATTGAGCAGCGTTGCGTAGTTTTTGAAATGAACACCTGACACAGTTGTATCACTGCGTTTGAAGAAATATTCTTTTGAAAGCCTGTGGAGGGTGCAAAGTGAACGAGCTATTTGCAACGATCCAATGACGTCAGGGCTACGGGCTTGACTGCAGTCATAACGAAACCCTTTGTCGCCTTATGGTTACCACAAAGCACTGACCTGCAAAATGGTTGTCTTGACCGAATCATCACACTCTGACAAGTGCTAGAACAAATGCACACCTATAAACCACTCATAATTTTATTTTCCTGGATTTCCGAAGCGCATTCGGCTCAGTTAACCGGTCTGTTATCCTTAACATGCTTGTTCGGAGTTTTGTCAAGATACTTTTGTATTTTCAGAGTTGTGGGGGTATGATCGCATATGGTGAGCTCTCAATACGTTCTCCATACAGAGGGGTGTCCAGCAAGGATACCCACTAATTTAATGAGGCGAACGCTGGGAAGCCTTAGAAGCCCTGGTACTTACAAAGTTGCCAGGAAAAATCTTGTCAGTCTGGAATATGTACACGACATCGATCATCATCATCGACAGCATGACATCAGTGTTCAACACCGATGGTTCACTGCCGTACAACCATGATTTATTTGAGAGCTTTATTGTAAAGAAAAGAGTGAAGGTGGACAGAGAAGGGACTTAGTGCTAGCTTAACACAATCATTCCGAGGTGCCTACACCTCCACACATTCACTCAGACAATCTGGATGGAAACTGACAACAAGAACGCCACTGACATCGGTTGGCAGCCATACCTTGTAGTGTCTCCTCCGACCAGGCACAGTGAGGATCACGCGGTCCCCATCCTGGAAGGCGAGTAGAACCGACGGCACCCAAACGTTTCGTGATCTCCATAGTACTCTTCTGCCAGGTCATGGGTTGGCCACCTCTCT